GCTGGCCGAGGTGTCGGCGCCGCCGGAGCAGGGGCAGCCCATGACGCAGCGCGCGCTGTCCGTGCTCGTGCTGGCCAGCGCCGCCCTCATCGTCTACTTCGTGATCCGCACCGTACGGTGAGCGGCGCGGGCCGCGGGGCGGGGGGGCGCAGGGTCCCGCGGAGAGGCGGCGGCGGCCCGGCCTGCAGCTCCCACCTCTCGTCCTGGTTACGAGGCCTCTCGCTAATGCTGTCTGGGAACAAGGCTGTGGTACCGTGGGGTACCCGAGGGAAAGGGCACAGCCTTTTACCTCACTGGAAACGGGTGAGGGAACCTGTGGGGGTCCTGTCAGCTCCCAGCTGCAGGTTTCAGGTCCTGAGTGGTCATGTGCAGAAGGCCAGAGGAGGTAAAAACTCCCCGAGAGCCAGGGCAGAGAACCTCTCATCCGCTGGATTGTTTTCCTGGGCGTTCCGCTGGGTAATGGGCAGCTGTTTGACACCAAACAGGGTCCTGTTCAGCACTGGAAAATGGAGTGTTGCCTTCCAGGTGCTAACATGGACAGCAGTGTAAAACCTCAGACGTATCTTGTTGTTTTGTGATACTTTTCATAAGAGATTGAGCCTTTAGGATGGATACATTCTTATCAACAACTTTCACAGAGAAAATCAGCTGTTCTTGATGTTGTGTTTGAGTTAGAATAAGGAAAAGGACTTAGGAAGTTTACTGATTCTGTGAGGCAGATGGACGTTTGTGTTGTGTTCAAGGTCGTAGCAGTGCTTTTTTTCTATGGTTGATAAAACCTTCATCTCTGAACACAAACTTAAATTCAAGGATGTTTTGTTTGTGTATATGTATAAAATTATAAAAACGCTGCTGTTTTAAGTACCAAAGTTGTACAAAACTTTGTTATCTGAGAGCAGAAGCAACATAATTCCTTCATGTTAATTCTGGTAAGCAAAATCCTAAACATGCATAGGGTCTGTTTTGCCATGATGTACGGTTTAACACTAGATATGAGATTGTCTGAAGTCTGAACTTGTGCAATGTGAAAACTCAGTGCTGTGAAATGTAGAGCAACTTTGCTCCTCAGCTGCTAAGTGAGAACTTAATCTGAACTACCTTTTATTGGGCTGTTTCTTCAAACAAACCAAACTCTCTTCAGAATTGTGTTAATTTGCCCATGAATTTTTGAAATATGCTTTTAATTCAACTATTTGAAGCCTTTTCAAACTTTTGGAATGAGCCTTTTGCAGAGCTAAAAACTCGAAAGGTTTTTTTTTCCTTCTTAATTATGAAAAGAATGATGCTAAAGTATCCATTCCGTTTGATGTGCCCTGCTAAGGTTATGAATGATCAAGTAAGTAGCTTAGCAGTTTATGGGATTAAATTGTAAAGTCCTGATGCTTCAGGCATTCACATGTTCAGTTTTAAGTGTATGTGTGATTTATTTTACTTAATAGTGTACAAAAATATCTCTCAACTGGCTGCCCATCCCTTCTGGATTTGATAACCTGGAGCTGCTTTTGTGCATTTTTCTGATTGGAAGTGCTTGATTTAAGCACTTAAGAGCAATCTGTACTAACCAGTGCCTATCACAAAGCTCTGTGGGTGTCCAGAGAGCCTTTTTGGAGAGATGTTTTGGGTTAAACCTTGAGTCTTTGTAAATCATATTCAAGAAGGTTGCTTAGTCAAGGTGAAGGATGTTGGAAGAAACTATCAAACGTTTGTTTTCCTCTTTTGCGTCTCTTGTGTGACATTGAGAGGGGAAAAAAGAACACTTTTCACCTCTGAAAAAGAAACTTCCCCAAGCTTGTACTTTCATGTTTTTAGGAAGTAAACTTTTTTTAGATTCCCAATTTTTCTATTGCAGATCACTTGCCATATTCTATATTTGTGGAGGAGCAAGTGTATGCCCTTAGTTCTTTAGTCTTTTTGGGATGATGGGAAAGCGCAAGTGTAGAAAACGGGGTGAAATGGCTGTATTATTTATTTATTTACTTTTTAGAGAATTGTTTAATTTGTCATGATAAGACAGACATCCAAAGTTTCAGTATGAATTATGTGTCATGGTTATAACTTAAATTTTTGAGGTTTATTTATTTATAACTTATTTATAGTGCACGTTAAAGGTCGATCATTGCCTTTTTTTTTTTAACGGATGTAAAACCTGTAGCTTGTGATTGGTTGCCTTGCACAGAAGAAAGATTCAGTTAACTTACCAAAAAATATTCTCAAAATTACTCCTTGACATTGGTATAGTTCATGATTCAGGAAGAATCGATTAAAAATTATGCTTTAAGAGGGTATGTGAATTAGCTATTTTGTAGTGAAAAACCTTCAGTAAGGAAGTTTCACTACACTGAGTTGTGTCTGGGACAGTTAAACCCTGGTGCTCTCCCACGGACCGTTACCAACCTCTTATATGATATATTTGCCACACTAAAAGCATTTCCCGAAAGTTATCCTTCTGCATGAAAGTCGTCTGTCTTTGAAACTGTTGACCAAAAATGGTAAGCATTTCACTTTTTTGAAGGGATGCGTTGACACATAAATAATATTTATGTTTATATTGAAGTGACTGGAAAGCTGCAATGCCCGTAGCAAGATTTTGTTTGAAGTCTCCGTGAATTGCACCAGGAGAGTCCTTGCACCTAGACAAGCTGGGCAATGTTCTGCTGTGTAAGTGACAATGGCTACAGGAAGATGTTATTATGTGGTAACACTTTTTAGGGTGAGGAGGGCTTTAGTATTAAGATACCCCTATGCAAAGCTTGCTGTTGTCAGTGAATATATCATATATCATGTGTGATATATGTGATCACATAATTATGATTGACATTCTACCTGTATTTTGTGTTTCCTGGTCAATCTTTTATTTGAGCAACTTAAGTGATTCTGTTAGAACAGGGCTGCTCCACTTGTTCAGGCTTTAAGGAAAGCCACTATTGGTAGATCTCGTAGAGCAAGACCCATCTAACAATGCAAAGTATGACTTTATTCCAGCCTTTTTAACACTTGGTTTATTTTCTGAATTTGCATGGTGGGTAGTAGAATGAGTAACTCCTGAAGCTTTTAGAAAGCAGTTACAGTCTAGATGTGGATGAACAGAACTGGCTTCACTGTCTGATTATTAACATTAAAAAGCTATCATATAAGAGAAGAAAATCAATCCTCTTTTTGTTTGGCTAGGTTTTTCTCTAACGCATGCAGTATTCTCTCTGGTACATTCTAGGGAGCGGAGTGGATTGTTTCAGTCTGCACTCCTTAACCTTGGTTTCCATAAATATTTGACCCATTTCACTTTGTATCACACTGAAGTAAGAATCCTTCTAAACTTCATTGACTGGAATAGACTTTGCCTCTTCTAACTTAAATAGTTAGAAGAATATTTTTACTCTGAAAATTCCCTATTTCCATGAGATGTAGATTGATGTGTTGATGCACAAAACTTGAAAGTTCAGTTCCTGGATAAGACTTTGTCTGAAAATGAAAGTTCCTTGACTTAAACCTATCTTATCCTCTTACATTTTGCTTTTAATGGCTCTCCTGCCACTGTTTGTATAGATGTTTTCAGTAGAGGTTTGAATTTGAGGCATTAATGAGCATTCAGAAATCTTATGGCTATGTAATTGAGAGTACATTATTTTACTGGAAACTTTGGAGTCTAAGCTGATGTCTAACTGAGTGAGAACCTTGAAGTTTCTGCCAATGGTCTTTTTTTGGAATTGTACTCACCCCCTTTCCTCTAAAACGGGGAAAGGCCACACCTTATTTAGACGTGAGTCTATCATAAGCATCTGTGCTATCCTTTTAGCTTCAATTTTTTGACTAGTCTGTAATTAGGAAGTTTTTGTATCGCCAGTAATTCTGTTACCAACTTTTCAAGGGCATTCATTTGAATCTAGAGATGTGGGACAATCCAGTGGTGATAATTGTGTTATTTGCAATACAGACTTTTGCTATCACTGACTTAAGGTTGTACTTAACTCACAGTAGCATTCTGCTTTTCACTGAATTGTGGAAAAAAATAGTAAGTTCTCTGGTGAGATTGACGGAAATATTTTGACTATACAAATAGCATGAAATGCCTGTCCTTCATTTACTCTTATATTTGTGTTCAAAATAGTTTGTAGTCTGTTAGAATATCTCAGAGTGACTATCGCCTAGTACTGATTGTGCAACTCCTAACTTTAGTAAATAACTGCCCCCCCTCCCATATATGAAATGTTGTTTCTGAAGGTTTTTTTATACACACTTTCTTCTTAGAATTTTAAAGTATTCTTGATACTTTGTAGTATACAACCCATTTTCTACTTTCAGGACTGAAGTCTAGATAAAGGAGAATAAATGGAAACAATTTGAGCTTGAATTAAAAGGTGAAATTTATGTGTCTGTCTGATTAGCTTTTCAACAGTAAAGTTAGGTACTTGAAATTCTGCTGCAGCACAGGACTGGCAGTCTAGCTTTTTACACAGCATTTATAGTCCCAAATCAGAGTTGAAGGTGGAGGAAATGAATATGATTATTTATATAGTATCTGAAGTTGGAAAACTGAGGAAAGGCTTGGATTTTATACTGTGCTCCATCTTAGGTCAGCTAGATATGCTTCTCAGTTCCAGAAGGAGATCTTATTTACTGGGATAAATGTTGTTGTGTGTCCTTCTGAAATTGCATTGATTTGTAAAGGTGAATGCTTCTGGACATATGTGAAAAGAAAATCCTTTAAGAGCAGGCATAATCTGAAACTGTGATTTGAAATCTCGTGCTGGTATCTCTTACAAGGCCATTAAAGTCCGGTCCCAGTGTGGGGCAGAGAGGAGACTTTCTTTACATAGTCCTCTCTTTGGTTATTACCTCCAAAGTGTCCAGCCTTCAAGTTCTTGAATGTTGTGAATACAATTCTAAGTCATCTAGCTTGAGTTTTTAAATTCTGCACTTGGAGATTCTAAAAGTAAGTTTTAGTTGCCGTGTTTCAGTGATTTTTAGCCCTAAATACCTAGCAGAAAGTTGTGTTTTAAAACAACTGTTTTTTTCCCCCAGTCTAATAGCTTTCACATAGCTGCTATTTTCTAAGTATACACTAGCTATAACTGTCTATAAACTGCCTATACTAGACTTTTTGTAGATCAGATGCCTTTGCATACTGTGGTGATGATCTGAGTTCCTGATTCACAAGGACTCGAGCAATGCATATTTGTTGCATACAGTAGTAGTTCTGCAAATGGATCTGCTCAGTGTGCATGGGATCATAGTCCAAATAGAGAAGCCACGGAATATACTAAGAAAAGCAGATGCAAAAAAAGTCATCTATGATAAGCACTGTGTGTTAATCTTAAAAACATAAATTACTTCATCTTCTCCAGTAATACTGACTGTACAACTTTATTCTTTCTCCAAAGTATGGAAAAATCTTCCTACAAATGAGAACATAAGTTTGGGTATGGCACTGTAAATAGCCAACAAATAGATATACGACCTGTTGGTTTCTTGTTTGCAGTAGTAGTGACCTTGATGGGCACTTGAATATCTGCTGGATGTTGCTATATTTTTCTTCAGTATGACTCGTGTTGGAAAAAGCTTATCCTGTCCGCAGTGAGTGTGTGTTTTTGTGGCAGGAATTTGTTCTGTTTCACACTTCAGGTCAGATTTTTAAATAAGTTGACATACAGTGTAAGAATACATTCATAGAAAATGCTATTAAATATCCTAAATAAATAGGATAAATAAATATCCTAAATAAATATTAGTGCTATTAATATAGGATATTTATGACCTTTTCTCTACAAAAGAGATGTTTGGGATTTGCAAATTAGGTGTGGTATACGCTGCTGCTATTTTTATATACTGTATGGATGATTTGACTCAATTATAAGTAATGAAACTTTTTATTATCACTTGTGAAGCCTTTTATAAGTATAAAGTTAAAACATGATGACAGCAATGGCTTGTTGCCTCTCTATTCAATTTCTGTATCTGATTTACATTTTCTTCCATAGAGAAGCATAAAACATCTAGAGAAGATGAAAAAATAGTTATCCTCATTCTCTGGGATCTCCAGGAAGTAGACCCTATGCATTTGCTTACCTGGCAATTGTCCTTATTTAGCAAGGGCCTATATAGCCATTTTGTATTCACTGTATACATTTGCAAGTGGCATTCTTGTTGGCCTTAGTCATTTCTTTTAAATTCTTGAACTCTAAATTTCACCTACGATACACACTTTACATATTTTATTTAAAAAAAAAAAAAAGATTGTCTGTATCAATATGTTTGGATTTTTAGGAAAGTTTTGCATTATTGGAGTAGAAAGTAACAATTTATAGAACTTAAATGTTGTAAAATATGTTTCAGGCTCAGAAGACGAAGCAGAAAAACACGAAGATATGGAGTTTTGGATACAAACATAGAGAACATGGAGCTGACTCCATTAGAACAAGATGATGAAGAGGATGATACAACACTATTTGATGCAAATCATCCTAGAAGGTATGTATGTAGAAGCTAAATAAACTTCTAGTAATAGAAGTGAAGGAATGTGGATGAGGTGCAGTTTCACTGAGAAAGCTCCTTGTATGCCTGTAGCTGGAGAAGGGCTGTTAAGATCCCTTGAATTTTAGATGGTCAGTGTAGTAATCAAGAAGACAGACTTAGTACTTCAGCTGCTCTTTATTTACTGCAGAATAGCATTTTTTTTTCCAGCATCCGAGTCCCTGAGAAATGGCAAGTAGAATATTTTTGTTCTAAATACAGTGTCCTTACTGCAGCTTATCTTGAAGTTCACTGCTAACTTCTACATTTCTTTTATCTTCTCAGTTTTTGTGTTCTCTCCTGCTAGTTCCAGAACATTGTTCTAATTTTCTTTGCTAAAATAATCAGCAGTTGAGAATGACCCTGCACTAAGTTTTAGCTTTAGCATTGCTGCACAGAGAAGTGTTCTTTTTGGGTTTTTTTGTGATTTTTTTTTTTTTTTTTTTTTTTTTTTCTGTCATGCTCTGAAGCTATCTATGTAGATACAGGGGAAAAAATGTTGTAGATAAGCTGCCCAGTTTAAATGCAACTTTCTTCTTAAGTTCTGAGTTTTCAGCTGCTTGAAAGCTTTGAATTGAGACAAGATGCTTTTGAACCCTTGTCAGCCCCTCTGGGCTTTGGAATTGCAATTCGAAATTAATAAAAATAAGTTTTCTTAATTAAGTAACTCCATTAGGCTGCACATATAGAGATAGCAGAATTCTGAAAATGCTGAGTACTACCAAAAATCTGAAGAGATACAATGATTAATCTTAATTTTGCTGGTCACAGTTGGCAAGTGACTCAACACTTCTTACTGTGAAATGAGTTAAATTCTCAAAGAAACAATGCAGCAAATGCAATGCATGGTGCTCCAAATGAATTGGAAGTAATGGAGTCAAAAGGCAGACTGTTCTGCTGATTATCTAAAATCAGCTCTTGGATGGCAATTCTGATACTTGAGGTGAAAGAAAGATTAAGTCGATTTTATATTCCCCTCTTTAGAGGGAATGTTTTAAATGATTTTGTTTGTTTTCACATATACTTGCTCAATCTGAATATTTTTTAAAAATAATTACTATTTCCTTAATCTCTCCCCTACACATTAAAAGAAGATAGCTGGTATATCATAACTTCCTGCGTGTTGAAGAGTCTTGTGACATTTATGGATACCTTTTGTCAATAATATTGTTCCAGTATAAATGATAAAATCATGCAATAGGTAATTGCTATGGTATATCTAGGAATTCCCCTGATGTCTTTTCTAGGTGTTGACTTCTCTTGTAATACAACATACTCAACAATATTGTGTTCCTGTTGTTAAGGCTTGAAGGAGCAGTATACCTAATTATGTTGCTGTTGAACAGTGTTTTATCTAAAGGATGCTATACCATTAGGAGATTAAATAGGTGTGTATGTATATCTATATACATAGTATGTTTTCTGCTGCAGTGAGTAGTATAGCAGTCTCCTGTATATAGATATTTTGGTTATGACTTTCAGTTTACTTTCAGAGATTTGGGGGTATTACATAAGCTTTCAAATACTGGCATGATAACAAGTGTCCTCCTAAGATCCATAATCTTAGATTGCAAGTTAAGCTTAATTCACATTTTGTGGATAAATCTAAAATACATAGCTTGAAGCATATTGTGTCTTAAGACAAACAGTCTTGTGTCTTAAGTCTTAAACAGTCTTAAGACAAACAGTCAATGCAGGACTGCATTGAAGTTCTTAACTATTTTGCTTATCAGTGGAGCAGAAAATACATCTGAAGGAGAAATAAAGTATCTTGGAAACTGATTCCCAATGGAGTAACTAGGAGCTGATGCTTTATCTTGGAGGTCACCTTAAAATTTGCCATATTTCTGTTCTAGTACAAATTTTTCCTGCATTGTGTCCAGTGACTGAGAGCGGATTTTAAACTGCACTTGTCATCAGTTTTGATATCCAAAAGAAAGTTCATGTTATGATGTAATATTATAGCTTGAAAAAACTGTCCGGTTTTCAGAATATTCAGGCTCCCTTTTAAGTACTGCAGAGAGTTGTTATTTAGTTTAGCTATAGCAAGCAATATGAAGATGTTTGAAAAAAAAATTATTGATCCAGTCTTTTCCAAAAATAGTCCTCTAAAATGCCATATAGTATAAGCAGTTCAGGTACATTAGCAGTGTTTCATCGCACTGGTACAGCTGCTGTCAGATAAATCAAGCATTTATGTTAATAGAAAGAAGTGGAAAAATTGGGAAGTGTGTAAATAAGGAACATTATCTCCTTACTGAAAGGGATTCTAAATACATTGTTTTTTAAAAAAACAAATATATGTATATGTTTCAGCTGGTGAAGCGAAATGTGATATATTGGTGTGAGTCATATCCCTGAAAAAGTGTGGCGGGGGAGTGGAATATGCTTGAGCATGTTACACCCTGGAGTAAATATATAAATTGATGTAACCTATAGCATAGGCATACCTTTACTTCTGACTTATGGGGCCATGAAAATGCCCAAACTTCTATGTGTTGTCTTGGAGAAGTGCTGGTAATGTCACCTTCTGACCGAAACTCTGCAAGAACGAGAATTGTGTCAGACTGCCTGTTAACATGTTCCTTTTGACTTACTGAGGAAAGCTGTCAAAGCAGAGCAGAATGTCTTCAAAAGAGAATAACCATAATGATGGAGAAATAAAATATTACTGTTTCAGGATAGCTCAAAAAGTGCTTAGGTGACTACCAAAACCATTATTTTGGTAGTAAGAGCTTGAGAAAAAAAGTACTTCTATTTGTGCTTAAAAAATTAAAAAATTAAAAAATTTAAAAAAAAAAAAAAGAAAGAATGCACTTGGCCATGTAATACTGAGAGCTTGCTGTGTTCTCCTGCATAGCAGGAAGCTCTCAGTTTTCCAAAATATTTTTTATATTTAAACAGTGTTTTTGTTTTGAGGAAAGAGGTGCTGGCCAACATCAGTCCTTCCCACAGACAACAGAGTGAGCTGCTGGCTGAATTGCTGTCCAAAACCATACACAGTGAAGGCATGGAAAGAGAAGCTTGGAAAAATCATATTTGGATGTGTATTTTTTTCCATGTTAATTTCTTCCCCTTATTGTAACTAAATCTTTTGCAAATTCATACTTTTAGCCATCTGCATTAAAGCTCAATAGTCTGTCTTCATATTATTGCCCAGGCAAAACGACCAAAGGGAGCTCAAAATGCATAAGGACTCGAACACGATGAGGACAACTCGATGATAATGATACTTAGATATTCTCAGTAGATGTTAAGCTTTGTCCTGATGTCTGCAAAGATTCAAAGCATTTTTTAAAGATAACATTATGTAGTCAGGCTTAGAGCGGCTAATCAGAGAAATAGCAAGAGGGTCCTTGCTTACTGAGTTCAGTCCCTTTCTGTCATAGGCAACCAGGGTTGCAATTTTGCTTAACAACTGTCAAGAATGAGCTTGCTCAGTTCCTGAGTTGCTTGTCCCCATCGCTCATAATAGAAGGCATTTCAAAAACTAACTGCACTCACAGAAAATTAAACTTCTAATCTATGTTCTCTGGTCAGTTTATATGCATTTGTTACACATAACAGCTTATATAAGTATTGTTTTATATACTGATGGTTGTCTTTTTTTATATACTGAGAGTTGTCTTTTTTTCCTTTTTACTCTATGACCTGTTTATATACTGCAGTAGTATCTACCCTGTTTTCACCTTTCCTGGCTAGACCAAGATTTTTATTTATTTATATAAGGTGATAACTGTACAGTACTGTCTGTTAGAGGTGTCTGTAGGCCAACTTTGAGATAGTTGCAAAGTCTATATGACTCTTTACAAGGTTGAGCAGAGATGCTGGCTTCTTTCCTAAAACAAGTATAGCAGTATCCAGTATATTGTGCTTATACAGTTTATTACTTTCAGCTTTGCTGCTGTTTCTTTCAGAGCTTTATGAAATATCATAACTGTGATTTTACACAGGTGACTTGAATGAAGTGTTGCACCTTTACTTTTTTTGTCTTAAACTTCAGTCTTTAAAAGTATTTGCAAAAGTTTCGTTTGTAACAGGACATTTCAGATGATTGCATATGTTTCTTCTGTTGCAGATAAGTACGTGCCTTTCAGTGAAAGAACTTAATCATGAAACCAGAGAAAGAGACTGCTTCATAGGAGGAGTAAGAACCAAATAGCAAGAGGGTATGGAAACTGAGGGAATAATTTAAGTTGTATATATTATGTCATCCTTGATTTGTTGCAATAAATACTGTACCAATTTGTTGTACCTTTTTGTATATATATGTATAGAATTCTAAATATAAAGCCTAAGGAGCAAGTGTGCACTAAAATCAAAACCTATTTGAAAGTGAGATTACTTTAAAACAGGGTATTTTTTGCTTGTTCTCAATCTTGTATGCCATAGGTGTGGTATACACTTTTTTCTACAGTAACCTAGAATGTTAACCAACTTTTTGCCAATGTAAAATTGTAAGTAAACCTAAGTGGCGTAGCCTCTGTGAACTCTGTGAACTTGATTAGTTGAGGAGATGCTTTACCCTTTACAAACGAAAAGCCAGACTACTGCCTCTTGTGTTTTTTTAAGAACTAAATTAACATATTGTATGGAAACTAAGTGTACAAATAAAAATGTTTACAATGTTCCTAGCATTTAGTGTCATACTTTATAATTTATAAATTTATAAATTAAGGATATAACTGTTATGATCTTGTTACAGTAATGCAGCAGCACACCTCTGCTTTTAAATTAGCTGTGTTCAGAGTGCTCTCTTCAACTGGCATGGACAGGTAGGTGTTGCACCACTGACTCCAGGATGCTACTGGTGTTTGCCACGTGTTGTCAGTGTTCAGTCCTTGGTCAGTGTAGAGCCCAAGCCTTCCTGTGAACAGCTTTGCTCTTGTTTTAAGATGTAGAACAAATAATGCACTTCTGCTAGAACTCTAAAATCAAAAAAGTGACATCAGAAGTGGCTGTTAATGTGAGGTGTGTGATTAAGACTTATCTTAATGCAGCTGTCATCCAGTTATGGATTTTTAGCTATCACCGGTATTTATTCCTCACTTACTGTTTGTGACCAGAGTAGGAATGCTTATTTCTCTCTGAAGCCATTTCTACAATGACAAGTAGTCTGCTATAAAGATATTTTTAGTCCTATAGCAGCTGCTTAATACCAGTGGTGACCCTGTGGATTTACTAAAATATACTCATTTGCCCTAGTAGAAGCTCAGCTGAGGTCTGAATTTCCTCTGAACTCAGGCGATGCCAAAGCAGCCTCCCAAGGTAATATTCATCTACAGTTTGCCCTTCCCTTCCCTGCTGGGAACTGTATTATCTTTGCAGTAGACCTGAGACTATATTTGTGTTTGCTCCTATTTTTATAAAGAAAACAACTCCTTCTCAGGTTTAGCTGAGGAATCAAGATATGTTGTCAAGAATACCTGTGGCTTAGGCTCCAGGTGAGAGTGAGTGGGCAACAAAAAGGTTCTGTAATAGAAGGGAAAGCAAAGCTGTTCCTGTCTAAGGTTGGCTGTCAGCGTCAAAGCTAAACATAGACTTTCTTAGAATTTTTTTTCTAGCTAGATCAAACTTATGAACCCTTGTACTAAAGAGCTTGTGTTTCTGGCTTCCTACAGTTAGTTGTTACAATCCTATATAATGTTTTCAGGCTTTAAGCTGAGAGTATCCCAAGGAGCAGTTGTGTGCTAGTGATTGATACTTGATCTGTTTATTCTGTGGAAGCAGTAGAAATACAGATGCTCATGCATTGCCTGCAAGCAAATCTAGATATTTTCCTGAAGGGGGGCAGCAGGGGGAGAAAAAAAATTAAATTTCAAAGCAAGGTGCATTTGGGGATGTGGGGGGGAAGTGTGTATTACTTGTTTTGATGCCTCCAAATCATAAGGATCTATTTTCTAGGATAGGCAGCCCCAAGCAAGTTTTCCAGCTGTGTTAAGTAGACACAGCTTTGTTCTTTGATATGCCTGAAACTGGCCCATCTTGCAAACTTTCTCAGCATTGCCCAAACTATATGTAATTAATGAACTGAAATGGCACTGATTGCTTTTGCAGGCATAAAATCTATCATGTGCTAGTGTAATCTCCCTTGAATTCTTAACTTCTGGAAATCTGCTCTGAACTGTGTTCAGCTCCTGTTGAGAAAACTGGGTGTGGTTAAAATGCTTGAAAGACTTCAGGAAAAAATGCTGATAAAAGATTACTATGAACTTGACCATATCAAAGCTACCAGGGAGTATCTGTTATTGTGCTGTTGTGTGTATTTTTTCCCTTCATAAATGGAAATTCAAGACAACATGTACAGGAATCCATGTGTCCGGACAGATTCCTTACCAAATCTCAGCAAATGAGTTTGGTGAATCTAACTGATAATGAACTGATTTGGGAGTGGGAATTCCAGGGGGTCAGGAAAGAGCCAGGAAAGCACTGTAATCTGTGCTGACTGAAAGCATGCTTGGCTCTCAAGAGAGGTGCCAAGCTGCTGCTTAGGCTTATGCTGCTGCTTGCTGCAAACTTCTTGTCATGCTACTGCTGATGCTGGTGTTAGAAGTTGCTAACTACTCAACCGCTGTAGAAGTGACCCAGATCTCTCCAGAGCGCTGTGCTCTGATCTGACTTTTGCCTGAATTTCCCTTCTCTCCATTTGTAATAGCTCAAAGGGACTGCTATCTGTTTAATTTCTGTCTTGAAGCATTCTGATCATAACGCACAGCAAGATGAGAACATTTCTTAAAGACACTGTCAGCATGGGAATTTATTGGCAGGTACAAGGGAAGCTCTTAATCACGGTATCTTTTGAATCTGTGTTTACATGCACTCTCCAATGCGTAGTGAAAGTGCTAATTTTGTAGACAGTATCAACAAAGCCTTCAGAATAGCAGATGCTAACAGCAGTATGCTTTGCACAGTATGTGGCTAGGACAAAGTCGCGGGTCAAATCCAAAATTTATGCCAAAGGTCAGTTGGAACTGTTATTTCAGAGCTAGGCATTTTGATCTATTTTCTCCCCTCACGTGTCATTCTCTTTAATAGAAACAGGTTCATTCATTAGTGTTTAAGAAAGTGTTCGTTAAAAAATGAAATAATACACAGTTAGCTTTTATATGCCTTTGTGTCTATACACACACACACACATGCACTCGGATTTGCAAAGTTTCAGTTCAATAAATATCCAACTCAGTTGCCTCTTGTACATTGTATCATGTTTGCCCTAATCTTACTGTCTTGAACCTGCTTTGGCCACTGTCCAAGAGAAGATACTTGACTAGATGGATTCAGACCAGCTGTAGCTGTTCTTACTGATTCTGATGAAAAGTCTAAAGGTGCCTCATCATTCCAAACACAGAAAACAGTTCATGATAGCATCTGTTAAACCTACAGCTCCAAAGAAGAGCAAACGTACATATGTATACTGGATGCTATTCTTGAACTTTCAAGGATGAAATTTCTTTGGGTAAGTTAGAGAAAAATCTCCTTCAAATTTTAACCCTTCTAAGAGGTTGGTATTTTTCTTTCGAAGTTTGATCTGTATATAATCTTATAGTAGTGGTAAGTCTATTACACTTAAGCTTTAGTGAATGCTGGAAAGAGCTTGGCTCCTTTGCAGCACTGTCACATCTTGTCAGAGCCCCCTCAATCCTTTCCTAGTAGTCTTATATTGCAGCTGCAATCTGTTTCATTCTTTTCTTCTGGAAATGAACCATTTTGGTCCACACCAAAAGTTCACTTTTGCCCAAAAGTGAAAGCAATATTAAAACTAATCTAAAGTATGTAAGGGCACGTATTAAAAGAATGTATGTAATATCAGTGTAGCTATGCTGTTGCTATTATTCTCATCCTTATCTCTGTCATTTTTTTTAATTAGAAAAACTGAAATGCAATAGGATGCCTGCACGCTCTGTTCTTACCATGTGGCAGGTAGCACAAGGTAACAAGCATGTGAACTACCCCTAGAGCATTGCACTGAATGTCTTTATTCAAAGGGGGTTTCAGCAGGATATAGCTTAGCTTGGGAACTTTTATGACACTTGTGAATTATTAATAATACTTATAAAATATTGTTTTGTATGATATCCAGAGATATGGTATTGGGGACCATGCAAAGAAACCAAGCTTGGAATGAGCCAACTTGAATGCTGAGGGCTCTTAATCCGCATCAGCTCTGTGTTGTGTCTGGCCCAGCGTGCCCTGTTTCTTATCTAAGCCAGCTTATTGGGTTAGATCCAGTGCCTTCGTGATGCCTTGCTTCATGGCACACAAGGTGCCTTTTCAGACAGCAGTAGTTCCTGAAGAATAAGTAGCCCTTTTTATTCTGCTGCAGCCACATTTGGCCTTCATCGCTTGCTCATCCTGCTTTGAGTCTTGCTGCAGCAGTTCCCATCTGCCAAAAAATTCAGAGGCTGACATTTGCCTGTAGGCAGGCTCCTTGCCCAGAGGAGGCAGGAGGAGGCAGTCAGAACTGCTGCTGATCAGCAGCTCGCTGTTTGGGACCTTCAGCATGATCTCACCCGTTTGCATTTGATTCATCTTCTGAAGTTTACAGCTATAAGAAGAGATACAACCTCTTTCCGACCTCCAGTATCCCAAATGAAAGAAAACAATGCTAGACAGCATATTTTCTACTTTAATGTGTTCTTTCTGAATAGTTGTTTTATTGGTTTGGGGCCTTAGATTTTAGAGCAGCATCAGAAACATCCAGGGATGGAAAAGAAATATGCAGAAAATAATGTCTTAAATTAAATACAAATAGTTAAAAGTACGTCTGCACCTGAATTTTCTTCAACCCAAGCAGAGAGATGACGGCATTGGGACAGGCACTATTGTTTCCTTGAGCTGGACTGATAGCAGGGCTTGCTTGCTTCTGATGCCTCAGTTCCAGTGGTGTAAGGTCCAGGCTAACATGACCCACGCTACCTTAGCTCCAGTGTGCAGTATAGAGTTTTATCTAAGAGGTCTTTAGCCTCCTGGATGTAAATAGCACAGCCTGATTGAAATTTTAATTGATTATCTGACAACTGTAGTTGTTGTCTTATGAAAAAAAATCCATAAATTGACTTGTTTTGATGTATGTTTCAAGAAAATGAGAGCTAAAGTAGAATTATGCCAATAAGCTGATTAAAATCTACTGTTCTTTATTTTGTTATTTGAATATGAATTATGTTATGAATTAGTACCTCTGAAGATGGTTTCCTCAGTTTATTACACTGTGGGTGTAGTGCTGTCCATTTGCATGGCTAGATAACATACAAAACTGCAAACCAAATTGCTTGTAATATACTGTATGCTTTTAGATTAAATTTAAAAATCCTGGTATTAGATTCAGTTCTGTCTTCCTTCTCAAAATGTTGAAAAAGATCAAAATTCTGATTAAAAAGTGCAGGACTTAAAGAATGTTTTTATTTCTGTTACAAAGTCATAGACTTTAGCCACACAGTTCTTCCAGAATAGAATTTTAGGATTGAAAATTCAGGCCACTTACCGTTGCAGTTGTCACTGTTACGTCAGCTCAACAGTGCTTCGAGTACAAGGGATATTATCAGACTCTGTAGGAAAGCCATTCTGCTCAG